CATGTATTTATATTATCTATTAGTATAGGAATCGAATGCAACATCAAACATTCATAGCTTACTTGACAACAGATGAGAAGTAATTTTTTTTTTCAATTAGATAAATCACTCCTTTATAGGAAACTCGAAAAAAGAAAATATCTTTCCAAGTAACACATTGAAGGTTATCACCCACCACATTCAAATGTCAAAGATCATATAACTTACTCGCCAAAAGTAACGTCAAGTCTTTTATTTCACACATGGTCTATTGTCTATTGTTATCAACGTGTGTTCGGAAACGCACATACTCAGGTTTTTGAATAAAATTAAATGAAACTGGAATGTAGACAATCGGCAACAATATGCATTTAAGGGTTAAGAAATGAAAGGAAATAATAGATTTTTCATAAATTTAGTAATATTCATATTGTACAATATAATTTCCGTCGTTACTTATGACCTCTTGCCAGCGTGATGGCAATTTGTGAGCAACATTTTTCAAAAATATATGTCTCACATGAATATGTGCATATCTATTGAAATTTGCAATGACATTATCAGACAGAACTTTTCGGTACATCTAATGTAATTTAATAAAGAATGTCAGATTGAAGAATGTCAAATCATGTCCTCCATGGCATTAGCTGTGTCCTATTTTCTGGCGAATATACTCGTCATAAAGAAATGGCGACATTTTGTGACACTATGACGAGTATAATCGTCGAGAACAGCTAACTGGTTAATATTAGTAGGATAAATTGAAGATATTGACGCAGGAGAATTGGTGTCCAACTTTTCTGTCGTTAGAAAACAGTTACGAATCCACTGAAACTTTGATTCCATACATTTATGCATAAACAGAACATTTTTACTTTTTCGGAAGTGGGAAAAAGTTCTGGTTGGACAGTAATAGTTATTCTGCTTTAAAAAAGTTCAGGTACTTTCGAAGTTTACCGTTTAGTATTATAAGTAGTTGAGTCCTATAAAGAGTTGATGTAAATTTAAACATACCAGAATATTGAATTGGTCGGTGATTTGAAAACGTCAACTATTTTGCCCGATGCTCCTTTGAATGTAAGTACATAAAAATCACAGCTTGTTTGCCGATTTATATTTATCCTGTTTCGAGTTACATAAATAATGCCAAGTAAATTGAACTTTTATATTTTGTTTTAAAATATCCGTTAAGAAATAAATGTTCCTTCAGAATTTTTATCAAACAAATAGAAAATAACTGCTGAAAGCGAACTTTTATGATAAAATTTAAGTGTTCGTGTAAAAATTAACGTAAAACAGAAGAAGAGATAATTGAAAAAAGAGTTAAAATTTTACTAAATAAAAGGTATAAAAGTTTACAGTTAAACTACAATTATCAAGTCGTGGTTGCGAATAGTTAAAGATCGTCGTTTACAACAGTGGAATTTTCGCTGAGCTCTGAACGGTAATCATAAAAAATATAAATAATATCGAAGTCCATGACCGCGAACAAGGCTCTGTATATAATTTACTAAAACTGCGATGAAAGTAGAAGTAAACGGATCTCTCATCTATAATGTAATCAACCGGAAGGCAGACAGGTTGCATTCGCAGAAAAAGATTGCGTTTCGTGGAAGCTCTTGTAGCGCAGCATCGGTTCGCAAAAAAAAAAACCAGGCAAATGTAAGTATTGCGTGAAGCTCGACACGAAGTGCACGCGACACAGATCACGCCACGGCATGGGCGAGCAAGAGCTGCATTCTTATCTCGGTTTCGTTCTTGTAAATTAATGTTAAGAAGATCTAAACGACAGTTTTATGCGCTCGTCGATGCAATTACTCGCGTGAACCGTCCATTGGAAGTGTAACGATAGTTGCTCCATGATTAGCGAGAGTGTAAAATGCAGTCATTCTGTCGAGCAATTTAGTTCGAGAGCGTTATTAATCATTTTCATTTCCTAAGAAATGGAGAGCATGAATGAATTTGACGTGAACGAGCTAAGGAACGTTGCAATCGTTATTATAATACTATTATAATACAATAATAATAATAATAATAATAATATTATTACAATATAATATATTAATTATTATATTATATACAATATAATATATACTACTATTACAATATAATACTATTAATATTTATATTGTAATAATAATATTATTACAATATAATAATAATAATATTGTATTATTATAATAATAATACAATAATATTATTTTATTTATTTATATATTGTAAACGGGATCAAGTCACATTAGCGTATATACGTTATAAAAGTAATTAAAAATATCACATAAAACCTAGTTTGCATGGGCCGTATTATAATTCATTGTATTAAGTTGCATAACAAATTTTTGAAGCTGCATGGATTGTTCGAAAGAAAGTTCAGATGGGAAGACAATTTGTTGACTTCGATACAGACACGATTTTAGGGATGAGAATTACCTATTGTATACTTATAGAAGTTTGGATGAAATAACAAAGTAGGTCTTAATGATCTCGATATATTTCTCGATATATATATTTTTTTAAATTAAATAGATATAATAATAACTAGACTGCAGATCTTTCTGCAAATTAATAATTGTTTACATCAACCGCAAGATACTGCAATCAAATTGTATATATTACGTGTAGTACACATTGCAATTACCTAAATACTTCTTCGAAAAAGGAGCTGTATTGTGCAACTATGAATTGTGCTTGTATGTAGCAGAAATATAATTAGTTGTACACGTTTGATCAACCTACTTCTACTATGCATGCTTTCATTGCGCGGACACAATCAAATATTATCGTTACACAATTGCTTTCGTAATTAATTTCAATTTTAATTCTTATTAAAATTTACTTTTAAACTCTCTCATATGTTAATGACATATTTAAAATGACCCACAATATTCTTAAATAAATTACATTTTGATTTGAATTACTATTATAAATATAATATTATAAAAATCAATTTTTTGTAATACTTAAAAGCGACAACATATTTAACTTTTTTGAGATAATCTTATTCCCGATTATCAATTATTTTCAGATTCCTCTAATAAGAATATTAAGCCGCAGAATTATTTAATTTTAACGATTTACATTTAATTATTCATTTAAACTAATTTCATAATTTCGTTGCTAATCCACCCAATCTTCTTATCAAGAAAACAATTTATCTTCCAGTTCGAATTATAACGTTCTACAAAGCGCCAGTGCTTCGCAATAAACTCTGCCACGTGAAAGTTATTGCGTCAACCGAAACAGCTGTTGCAAGCACGTAACTTACAATGGATAAGGCTGTCACCTAGAAAAGCGAATTATTTTCTCGTTCATCTCGTTTTCCCTGACGTCGACTGCTATTCGGGTGTACATTTCCACACGAACCCGAGACAAGCTTTCTCTCACAGAGATCTTCTGCTATACTGCGTTAAATTAGCTTTCGAATGTATCAGATAATCGAAAATCAGACAATCGTAATTTCTATTCGTTCGACTTTTCTCTTTGCTTTCACGGATCAAGTTGCAGAATACGAAGTGTAGCAAACGTTGCGTGTGCCACCATCACCGGGATGAAGAAACCTTCTCCGGGGTGCGAGCAGACTCTGAGCAGGGAGAGTATCTTCTTGCCTGTCCAGTCGGTCACGAGTTTAGATCAGACATAGGCTCAGATTTCTCTATGCAACAATGCCCTGACAATCGTGAGTTGCGAAACTATAGCTGCTCGGGTTACTTTGGTTGCACAGAGGCAACATGGCAGACAGTCTCCTATCTCTTTCTCTGACGTCAGTTACCCCTTTCTCGTGCAGACCAACACAGATGTGCTCGCCGAACGGCATTGTCTATTGACTATCCCCAGTTTAGACTATCGGCGTCACGGACGTACAACGTGTGTCCGAAAATCAATCGGATCGGATGCGTACTTCGATAACTTGCCATAGTGGAACTGACAACCTGACACTGCACAATGGGCTAAAAATCTGGACAAAGTCGATTTAAAAGATCTCGCGTAAAATGTGAAGTTTTTGCTTTCTGCGATGTGGTTGAACATACATCAAATAATATAGTGTTTCTCTGATAATTAGCTTCTGAGTTACTGTTCGTTCATTAATGTTTTAGGTAAGTGCGCGCTTCACTGTCAAAACACAAGTATGTACAGTACCTGTGTTTGTGAGATCGGTGATTAATGATGTTAAAAAATTACGAATAATTCAGTGAAGTAGATCTCACGTTTCAAACAGTTCATGTAGAATTTTATTAAATTTTCCGGTGAATCTCGATGCCTGGTTTGATGTCATTGAAATCAGCAAGGTCTTCTGTTTATGATCGAGAAAGAATTAGCTGTTGATTTTGTGAGGTTGATCAAAGATGGATAACTGGCACGTGATAGTATTCAAACAAGTAGATAGTATTCTAAACGTTTTTAACACGTTGAATGCCACGACAGTTTTACAGAAATTGTCCGTGGCGCCACGATGAATTTTCTTTTATGTGATACACATAATGTTGAAATATCATCTGCAATAGATAAGTTACAGTGTATAACCATGTTTGACATGTTAATTGCGACAGGGGTCACTGTTTGAATTGAATAATACAAAATTTTAGATGTTGACATTTGTTTTAAATTATATATAATATTAACACATTGAATGTCACGCCAGTTTTACAGAAATTTAGATGTTGACATTTGTTTTAAATTATATATA